TACACGGATTGTTTACAGTCACAGAACTGACTGATCACTCTGTGGGCAACGGCGCCCTCACGTGGGCAAACGAAGCAACTGCTTCTCTCTGATATTATACAGGAATGAGGACAGACTGTTTGTAGTTTGGAGGACAGACATGTTTATTTTTCAGAAGACAAGACATTTTCATTGAGGTTAGACAGGTTCAATGAAGACTTTGAACTCCTAGGGAGACGCCGCTCTGCTGCTGCAGTAGCAACAGTGGCCGTGGTGGCGCCGTTTCACCCCAAGTGGGAAAAGTCTGTATAATAACCAGAGCAAATCCTAAAGCAATCCTATAATATCATAAAGATTCCAGATAATTAAAGAAAATGAGGAACGCTTCACGAATTTGCGTGTCATCCTTGCGCAGGGGCCATGCTAATCTTCTCTGTATCGTTCCAATTTTAGTATATGTGCTATCGAAATAACACAACAGTACCTTGTTTCTGAGGGGTTCTTAAAAGCTTCTGAAGGGGTCGAGCACTCTGTGACGGTGGCACCACTTTAGGGAGTCTAAAACCATGTTTCCGTGTCTCTGTCTAGGTCCAAAACACAACTGCTGAGAGGTCTGGCTGCTGTGCAGTGAACCCTGACCATTCCACCGGCTCCAGAACCTGATCCGACCCGCTTCAGGTCCCGTCTACTCTGCTGAGGAGCGCGAGAGGGTTCTGGGAAATCTAGTCAGCCAGCGCTGACGTCACAGGATTGGTGAGCTGCAGACAAAGAGGACAAAAGAATCCCCTCACAGCTCCGCCTACATTCCTCCCAGACGACCTTTGACCACCAGTGAGCCATGGGAGGACACGCAGAGGCAAGGGGGGAGGGGGGCGCACAGAGAGTGACGAAGGAGGCAGACGCGTATAGAGTGACGAAGGAGGAAGCTTAGACGGAGGGGGGGGAGCAGCATGAAAGAGCGGTATGAGGAGAGTCCTCACGCTGCTGCTGTCCCGACTTCACATGAAGATCCTCTTTGCGCTCTGAAGACGGCTGGATGACGTCACTTTTTCTTGGAGAATCGGTAACAATGAGAAACATTTGTTCAGAGCCACAAGGTGTGAAACTAACTCGCTGCGGAGACTAAGAAGAAGAGATCACAACCTCATGAGGAGACCCGAGGTCAGAGAGAAGACGTGATGGATTTTGGGGGGATTCTTTATGAAAAACGTGTCTCTCTATATATTCCGCCACAACAACGGCTCAGATGAACAGACGCAGAGGAACATCTGCTCACGTCGTCCAGACCACACTTCTGTTTGTGTTCCTCTGAACAAACTCTGCTCTTCCTGCTTCCTGTTTTCATAAAAACAAGAACACCGGTGCAGCTCCACAAAGGTCCAGCAGGTGTCGTCCTCCATGGAGTGAGAGGCGCCGTGGTCTGAAGGAAAATACAAAGTACAGCATGAAACATGAGCCACTACTACTCATTCGTAGTAATGTGACCTTATTGAACATTGTTATATTGTTTCACAGTAATGAATCCATAGTACATGCGTTTAAAGTGCGCATGGAGATCCCCAAACAGTTAAAAACATGTCACAATTAATGAGGGATTTTGACTTTCTACATGAAATCTCACCTCTAACGAATCAAGATTAGTTTTAATTGTGAGTTGAGAATAAATAATTTGGCTCTGCACAAACACCGAACAAGCTCTCAATCGAATTGAAACAAGCGTCAATAAAATTAAAAATTAAAAAAACATTACAAACTGGCCACACTCGGCTTCACGGTATAGCCTACTGTGCTGCTGTCGGGGGCAAGACTGTGGAGCAGTGGAGGGAGGAGGTCCAAAGGAGGGGGGGGAAACGAGGGTTTTTATTTGTTGTTTTATTTACAGTTGTTATTATTGTGTTATTATTGTCATGTGTTATTTAAGCTATTAAAGTGTTTGGAAGCTTTTTCATTCCATACAAACCTGTCTATTAGGGAAATCTCCATAACTGCCATCATTTAACACACTCTGCTTGCAACTTGCCGGAGGCGGGACTCGAACCACAGATCTCCTGCATCACAGCCCATATCTGGAGCACAGCTAGCCCGTCCTCCCCTCATCTACTATTTTTGCAACCTGATCACTGAGAAGAACGAACCATACGAACCAGCAGACGGAGAACTTGTTCTTCTATAACGAGCCTGTCGCCATCTTTCCCGCTCCAGCATTCTTCCACTTGGAGGAGCAGCCTCAGTGGAGCAAGTCGGCCACTCTTCCCCGTGTGGCGTCCGCCGCTGAGCCGCACCAGCTCGGGGTTCTGGAGGGCAATCATTCGGAAACTCCGGCCAGCGCCTCCAGAGAGCACTTCTGCCTGACGGAGTCCGCATCCGTCCCGGGGACGTTGAATAAAATGAGGGGCGGCGGCAGACACTCTGTGCATGCCTTCGCAGAACTCTCTAAAAGCCCCTCGACTCAGCCTCCCCGAGCCTGGTTCGTATCACTGGAGGGCAAACCCGCAGCTGAGATCCCGGTACGCAGTGTCAGAGCAGCAGAGGCGGCGAAGGCCGGTTGAGAGTCGGGAGACCAGCTTAGACTCCGGCGTGGATATGAGCGAACTGAACCAGGCGCCTGGCCGCAGGGCCGTGACTCTGGAGCGCAATGCCACTTTTCTCAAAAGCAGTAAACGTGCACCTCCATAGTAAAACACCTCCAACATCTGAGTTTGGATACACAGGATAGATTCTGACACAATACTAATTTATCTTTTAATTGCTTCATGTTCTATATCGATGTTGTGGTGCCAATCCAAGTTGTGGGTAGAAGGCTAATTCATACCAGCGGATTGGCGACGGTTGGTAAAGCTGTACAAAAGTCCAAAGCATGTGAATTAAGCAGTTTTCTTCTAGCAGACTTTAATGCCTCAAACATAGTTTAAGAAATAAATAAAATACTTTTGGATATCATGTCATACTGTTACGTTAGTTGCCACAACTGATGCCTCCGAAGGGAAAAACAGCCACACGATTGAGATTAATGAGGTCAAACACCTTCATAACGAGCACTGTGGAATTTTAACCGGCCGTTGGGATTAACAGACAGTTCACAAGGCTAACTGAACCCGACTGAATGTCTCTTGTTTTAACTGTCACCTGATTACGTGTTCTCATGTTTATTTTTGAATTAAAGTGAATAATTTAATATTTTAATAATAAATAAATAAATAACTCATGACCGTGGTATTTTTTGCATTTCAATATATACACTATATATATTATATACGTATAACTATTTTCTATGAATCCGGTTTTAAGGAATTATAGTCTATATACTGTATAAAGTTACTGTTAGATAATAATAATCTCTTCAATCTGAATTACAGTCACTTCTGGTTTCCGACATTAGTTTTGACTTTTCAATCAAATGTACCGCTATATTATTATATATATATATATATATTTTTATTTTGGGTGGAAATGTAATTAAAAAGTTGAACTGAAAATATCCTCCAACCTTTCTAGAGGCCTTTACTTAACAGAAACCCACATATGCTTTAGCAGTAAATAATAATCAGCATGAATGATGCGTCTGCTTTCTACCAGCTCACTATGTGTGATAACAGAAACTATTTTCACAATGTACATACACAAAGCTTGATTCTTGCAGAATTGATGAAATATGTAAACATCATTTTCCAGCTAAGAGGAGGAAAGGTCAGCACCAGTGAGGGCACATGTGAATAGTTGATGTATTAGCAGCACCATGTGGCCATTTCTTGAGCACTTTAGTGGTTTTCTGATAACTCCAGAAACACAAGGTCTAACATAGAACTGGATTGAAAAGATAGCTTCTGTCATTTAAAGTGGTTAATATTGTATAGCATTATTCAAATTATACTGGTGGTTGTATTTTTGGGGTTGCACTTTATCTACATTACTACATTGTATTACAAGTTTCCATAAAGGCTTGATTCATTACCGTACAAATGATTCATTACCTTATTCAATATTTGCTCTTTTTCATACACTTGCATGGTGGCCACAGCAGGTTGTTAGCCGTGTACATCAGTCCAGTAACCTTTACTAGTGTAAATCACTTCAGTTAAATCTCAAAACTCACAAAAACAATTTAACATCCCACAAATCACATGCAAAATTAAACGTGCCATTCAAAATAATATAGTTAATTCTCCAAAAATAAAGTGTTCAAATGACCCACATACAAACACTATGATGTCAATAGATATTTCTGAGAACCAATTGAAGGGACGTAAGACAAACATAATTGTCTAATTGTTTGTTTAATAAAAAGTCGTTGGACTAAAGATGATCTGTATGAAGCACATGCAGTCATGGTCACATCAACCTGTTGAGGGAACCAGAGAGAGAATTTGCCCCCCGGTCTTCCCCTCAGTGCATGTTTATGTATCTGCTACCTCCACGTTCCCATAAAAAAACCCACTATTATGCATAGCTGATTTAAAACGTTATTTGTGATTCTAATGAAATAGGAATAAAGATGAAGATCTCGCTCGTACATGAGCTCATAGCGCGTCATTGGACTGATAGCAGCTACAGACCAAAACGATTCCCTTTGTTACAATGACATTTAACAAACTATATCATCTTATGGAAGAGCTCATACAAAAAATGTCAGCAGTCCAAACCAACAGCTTGCACATCACATATATTTCATTTGAAGAAACGTTTGGGCTGATTTGATAAGCAATAGATAAGCAATCTAGATTATTATAGTTATAATTAATCATATATTATCATAGACTGACTTCGACTACGAGCAGATCATTGACAAACATCCCTCCTCACTGTCTCTGCAAACCCCACATACCCTCACTTGTACCCGCCCCCATGGGTAGCTAGGATGATTGACAGGTTCCACAGCTTCACATGTCATGAGACCTTCACTGACCCCCTGAACTCGGTAAATTAAAAGACAATTACTAGTATCCAACAACTTCTTCCCGTAAACACATTAACACTTATAAAATAACAGGTTAACATTAAATATGTTACTAGTTATAATATCTTTATTATCTAATTATTGCATGGACCTGCACCAGAGCTCAATTAATATATCCATATATAATGATATAAAGAAGATGTTCAGACATTGTGACTGAGGATGCATTCCTATGTTCAGAAATGGTTGGATAAAACATTAGAACACACAGACACAAAATGGACGAGCAGGATTCCATGGTTGCTATGGTCCTTCCGATGATTCTATGGAATCCTCATTTGAACATAAACAACCACTCAAGCAGTCACAAAAAGTGTTTCCTCAAGTTCAGCTCAACGATTTCTTGCTAACAGCCTTTTCTACTGCGAACTTCTTCCTTCATTACAAGAACTAAAGAGTCACAGAGACTGACCAGAGCGACTAAAGTAACTTTCATCATGGAAAATGTGAGATTTGAACCCTTTGAATGTCAACAATGTTTTCTGTGTTTTACCGTTGAGACCTTCAGACCCCTAGAAGTGACGTGATAATCAGCTCTGCTATGAACACCCCCCCCCCCCCCCCTTTATAGACGACTGGTCTCAGCTGACAGCTGTACTGTACCTGCTTGATATTATAACTATTTAGTCAAAACCAAAGACCACAAATGTCTTCAGCAAGTTTCTCCAGGAGGTTTAAATGCAGACAGTCTTTTCACTTGATCACATGTTCCTTAATTCATGTTATTAATAGTTAAGTGTCGGCCCGCTAACACTGAGGCACATACAACCTGTCCACACGGCGTACTTGTGTGAGGAACAGGTGTTCACAGCGGCCCTGCAGCTCAGGCCCCTACAAACTTCATCTGGTCTCTGTGAACTCTTTCGATGGTTGAATGTGCTGATAGAAGCTCTACGCGTGTGGAAATACACGCCGTGTTTTAGGGGAAATATCAGTTGGTTTTCACAGTGAATTGAGAAATGAAACGTTCTGCTTTCACCGTACTTGTAAAGCTTCCTTCTAACACAAGTCTATGTTGTTGCAGTGTGACGTTCCCGTTCTCCTGACCGACAACCAGACAGGAAGGAGAACCTCTGCTCGCCAGGCAGAGAGCGCGTCGAGGCCCTCAGCCTGGAGACAGTGTTCATGCTGCAGGGACAAGCAGGTGAGACTTGTTCTTTCAAACTGTTCACAATGGAATCCTCAGGACCCGGAGTGAGTCAGTGTACAAACAAGCAAAGAGATTGCATATTAAAAATCCTTCAAAATGGACAGAATCTGTGAAGGTTCTCTGCAGTGCATGTGATGCAGAGGTTTCTCTGTGACAGTGTGTTGTTCAGTATGAAGTTCACTCACACCCTTTGATGTGTTGCTGACCAGGGGCCGACTCTAAAGAGAAAGCGCCGGCCCTCTGCTGCTCCCGGAGACCTTCACCAGAAGAGGAAGCGCACCTCCGGAGCCCGTCCCCTCCCTGACCATCCAGAGGTGCTGGACTGTGTCCCTGCTGTGCAGCCCTCCCCAGCTGGTGACCATTCAGGGTCTTTGGTGGAGAAGCCTAGAGCCACCATCCCACCTGCTGACCTGCCCCGAGTCTCCTGTGTGGCCCCCAGCCTCCAGCCCTCCACGGCTCCACTGCACGACGGGCCTCTGAAGATATTCAACCTCCCAGTGGAAGAATACCAGCAGCTGTACCACGAGGTTGTTGATGAAATGCTGAGGTGCGTTGTGTCAACAATCGCTCACATAATTAGCACATTCTTCCAATCACAACTAAATGTATCGCTCAATATTCCCTCACAGCAACATTTGAACCACGTGTGACGTTGTGATTAAACTCGTTGTTTTTACCTCTCAGGTTCAAGAGCGGCCGTCTGCGTCCTTACACTCTGAGCCTGGGGCGCGTCATCAAGCAGAAGCTGTGGCAGAGACTGGACCGTCCCCTGTTCACCGAAACAGTCAACGGAGACGGACTGGTGCACGTGGATGTCTCCTACGGGGTTGGAGTCTTCCCTCCCCTCCACCAGGTGGACATTTTGGGGGAGCCAAAGCCAGGGACACCACCGAAGAGCTAAAAACTCAAAAGTAGCAATCTGCAGTTGCTGCCTCCAACTGCAGGTTGCCGGCAGCTGCTACCAAAGGTAGCTGCTACCAAAGGTAGCAGCTGCTTATATAGGCTCAACCCCTAAACTGCTGTTACCACCTCCACCAGCAGATATTGGCAGACAGCTGGAAGCAAACCTTCACCTTGATCCTCTGCCAGTGACCTGCAGTTGCTGCCTCCAACTGCAGGTTGCTGGCAGCTAGCTGCAACCAAATCTTCACCTACGGCCTCTGCCAGTGACCTGTTGATGCCGCCTCCAACTGCAGGTTGCTGGCAGACAGCTTCAACCAAACCTCCACCTATGTCCAACGACCACAGTTGCACCACCTGCAGTCTCTGCCAGCCTACACCTAAAATCCTCTGCCAGCAACCTGCGTTTTTTGCCTCCAACTGCAGTCTGCTTGCAGACAACTGCAACTTAATTCCATCTTAACAGCCTCTGCCACAAACCTGCAGTTGCACCCTCCACTTGCAGATTGTGGTTGAGGGGCTACAACCAAACCTCCACCGCCAGCTGTAGCTAAATATCCAGCCTCTGCCACTAATCTGCTGTTACATTCTCCACCAGCAGATATTGGCAGACAGCTGCAACTGAACCTGAATCTTCTGCCTCTGCCAGCACCTGCAGTGTCTGCCTAAAACGGTTGGTTGTTGGCAGTCAGCTGCAACCAAATCTCCACCTAAATAGCCTCTGACCTGCTATTGCTGCCTCCAGCTGTGGCTGCCTCCAGCATGGCCTACGCCAGTTACCTCTGTATGCCGCCTCCACCTGAACATACTGATGAACCCTAACTCTACCTCCCAAACCTCCACCTTCACGCATCTGCCGCAACCTGCAGTTACCGCCTCTAACTGTAGTATGCTGGAAGACATTTGTATAAAGATGCCTTTGAAGCCTCAACGTAAAGCCTTTGTCAGATCCTGTAGGTGCCGCCTCCACCTGCAGGGTATGGCAGGCAGATGCCGTTAAATCCTCCACCTTTAGCCTCTGCGACAATGTGCAGTTGCCTACTCCACCTGTAGACTTTTGTAGAAAGCTGCAGCAGAACCTCCATCTAAAACCACTGCCAGTTACCTATGGATTTTGCCTCCACCTGAAGATCCTGGTGATAATCTACCTTTCAAACCTCCACCTTCAGGCCCCTGCCACAATCTGCTGATGTTTCATCCATGTGTCCAACCTCATCAAGATGCAACCAAAGCTTCACCTAAATAGCTTCTACCACAAACCTGCCATTCACGTCTCCACCAGTAGATTGTGGCAAGCGGCTGAAACCGAACCTCCACCTAGAGCCACCTACAGTTACTTGTCGGCACCTAAACGTCCACCTTCCTGCCTCTGGCAAAACCTGCTGCTCACCACCACCGGCAGTTTGTGCAGAGTGCTGCCTTTCAAATCTTCAACTACAGCCTCTGCCAGAATCTACATTTGTTCCCTCCACCTGCGGATTCTGGCACCTGCCGTTCCTCCACCTACGACCTCTAAATTGTCTTACTCCTGAGAAACTTCATCCACAACTCCCATTGAGCCAGAATTCAACGTGCTCCAGCGCATGCATCCTTTGCGATGCTACACCTGAAGGCTCTCCCAGCTGCAACCGAACCTCCTCCTACATAGCTTCTGCCAGCAACCCACAGTTGCGCCCTCTACCTGTAGATTGCACAGCCTCTGCTTACCTGTGGAAGCCTCCACCTGAAGATCCTTGAAGATCGCTAGAGCATCAACCTCCACACACAACCATCACCGTGCACCTACAACTCTGCCTAAACTATCTGCCAGCCAACTGTACGTCCTGCGATACAACATTAACCAAAGAGAGCTCAGCTTTCTCCTGCTGGTCTGAACTCAATTAGTGACATCAGGCTGATGCGTAGCAGAGTGACCATCCTGTAGACGTCATTTAGTTAAAAAAGGATGTTTTATATTTGAGTCTTATAAAATACCTGGAGTAAACTCTTGATGAAATGAAAGACCTAAAATGTTAGAAAGTCTGTTTACTTTATGAATTTAAACACTCCTTCAATTGGCATTGGTTTCATAATTTGAGGGTGTTTTGGTGATGCCCGGTGACTTAAGACATTTTTTTGTGGTTTTCTCCAGTTGTTGTTGGACTCCACACGTCCAGATGTACCAGGAGCTGATCGAGAGCCGGGATCATTCCTTCTACCACAAGAGCCATGTTCCAGAGATGCTTATTCCTCCTCCACCTTCACCACCAACTCCTGCTCCTTGTCTTAACTTTTGCACTGTTGTTTAATAAATTCCATCATTGCTTTTGATCATTAGTTTTATTTAAATCTGAATTAATTGACAGAAAACTGATACTTTAATGTTCAAGATCCAATTGAGTAATTATGAATGACATTTTTTCATCCATTTTCTGTTTGTTGGTGTATCTTCCACAAAACACGATACCAAAAGCAAGCAGTAGTTTCAATTTGCATATTAAAACATTTCTGATAACAAACAAAACAGAATAGTCTGATGCAAAATAATATAATTGAGAAGTTTCATGGTTATTATTTTTACTTTCATACTTTTTAGAATTCTATTGTCTTGTATTTATTAAGATTTAGCACAACTTCAGAGCTCCCTCTGAAATAGATGTTTTATCAAACATCCGAAGGTTTTGAATTATTTTTTATATAGCCTAAATGAACACATTTCAATTTTACCTCAGAGGGCATCACAATCTGCACAACAGTATTTTTCCTCCTTTCTCACCTCTTGGTCATCGAAGTCCACTTAGACCAGGGGTCTCAAACTCAAGTCAGGTACGGGCCAGATGCAGCCCACCTCGACCGAACGCGGGCCAGACCATTATGGCCGACGGGGGGGATGACACTGACGGTCCGACCGGCGAACGGAACGGAATGGTCGGCGCTGGGGTGGAGGTTGTAAGTGGCAGCTAACAGCGAGGTTGCTACAATATAGAACTCGCGGGCCGCACTAACATTACACTTTCATATGAAGGCGGGGGCCACAAAATATCGTCCCGAGGGCCGCAATTGGCCCGCGGGCCGCGAGTTTGAGACCCCTGACTTAGACAGTGTAGGATATTAGAAATAAACTGACGACCCGGTTCATAAAATTACTAAAATGCATATAGTGTACACCACAATACAGCCATGAGTCTGAAACTGTGTAATCAATAAAGTAATGACAATGTTGTAAAACCACTGTAATTCTGCAGCTGTAATAGAATAACACCAATGTACAGCTATGATTGTATCTATGATTGTATGTAATGTAATCAACTGGAATGCATGCATGTAATACATGCACAACAACTGATATTGACTGAGGCTCATTCGAAATCCGAGTTACATTGAACTCACCAGAAGACCACTCCCAGAGGTGTGGACACTGACTTTCACACCTTTACGCATTGGCATAAATACCTGTAGGCAACCATTGTTCTCGAGTTCGCTGGCGGAGGCAACAAACAGGCACTAGGGATGGTCAATGGGCCCTGTGGCCTGTTGGTTGCAGAGACCAGCGGCTCCTCAGCTGAGATGTTCTTTTTACCACAACACCCTTTCTTTTATTGAATACAATGATGATGATTTTACAATGATTTTAACCTTTCGATCAACGATGCCCAGACACACCGTCTGAACTGACGCCCCGGCGTGACGGCTCAGATGCTTCTCTAATGGTCGAGATTACTCTGGCTAAAGATAGGTCAAAGGGCCGGCTCTCATTGTTGAAGTACTTAATGCAGCAGGGCCAAGATCCTCCTTGTGGCACTGGCCCTCAATGGCAAGTCTGTGATGATCGTCAGTGAATCTGTGACGATCTTCAGTGAATCTGTGGCAACTCCGTGGCAGGCGTCACAACATTGAGCTGAGGAGCCGAGTGGGCGGAGCCACATCATCCGAGTACGGATGTTGTTTGTACGACAGGTCAGTTGCCATAAATCAGTTTTATGATTATGGTTGAGGCACCTGAGCCACACATTCTCTTACAGCATGGGTGTCAAACTACTTTTAGGTTAGGGCCAGACCTTTGATCAGTGGGCCAGACCGGTAAAACCATAGACGATGGTTCGGTCGACACTACTGCCATCTAGTAATTTTATATTTTGTATTTAAACTCCTTAAACATGAGGTCTAAATATTGATTCTGCCCCAACTGAGTCTCTGTAATTTTACAATTTTTAAGTATGAATTAGGTTTTTGGTAGCACTCCATGATGACTCAACATAATGAAGCATTAATCAAAGGCTTATTATTGAGTAATTTACACTAGAGATTCTTATAGTCAATATGTGCAAGATTCCCTGAACAGATATCTGAAACCTAGCTGAAGAATGGTTCCTAAAGATATGTTTAATTTTGGTTCGAAACATTGAGTCATGGTCTTTTTATGAAGGGAATTTTGGATTTAGAATTGTATTACTGTATCAAAGTAATTAGTGTTAAAATGTTCAATAACATGACACCAATATTAATTATTTTCAGACCAGGAGCCCCTTGCGTGCCTCTTGCATGCTTTTTTACCCCTCCTTGCGTGTGTCGAGCAATTTTTCTAGACTAGCAACAAAGCCTACGCAAGCCTCAGGGAGCCCTCAAGACGTCATTCTCTAGGTCGTCTTTGACAAAACACGTTACTCCACCTATTGTTCTGGAGGTGAATTGCTGGGATGTTTTCAGGACTGGTACCAACAGTCTGGATGAGTTCTCAGAGGCTGTGGCTTCTTACATCGGCTTCTGTGAGGACAGCTGTGTTCCATGATGCACCTCGGTGAGTTACAACAACGACAAACCCTGGGTCACAGCGGAACTCAGAAAACTATGCCTGCAGAAGGACCAGGCATTTAGGAGCGGGGACAAAGTCTTGTACACAGAGTCAAAATACAGGTTCAGCAAGGCGGTGAGAGATGCTAAACGACTGTACTCTGAGAAACTCCAACAACAGTTCTCAGCAAGTGACTCCGCTTCGGTTTGGAGAGGCCTTAAACACCTCACTAACTACAAGCCAAAACCCACCACTCCATGAATGACCTTCGTCTGGCAGACGAGCTGAATAGAGTTCTACTGCAGATTTGATAGACAATGTCCTGACTCCATCCCCCACAGCCCCTGTCTCCGGGGTTCACAAACATCTTCAACACCTCCCTGGAGACATGGCACGTACCAGCTGCTTCAATCCAGAAAAAAATAATAACGGGAAGCAAATTATAAATAATACATTAATAAAATATATAAATTAACAGGTTAATAGAGTATATATATATATATATATTGTGACAAAATGTCCTGAGCTGTCGTCAGCGTCGCCCGGGAAACGGAGCAGACACACCTGCACCCGCTCATCACGGGCTGAGCGGCCACACCTGCGCCTGATCAGAGGCTGGCTTGATTAGCCTCACCGCCACACACAGAGGGGGGAGATGTCCAAGCCTCGGCTAACATTATCGCTGTTATTTCCCACATTTCTCACAGCGGTGCGTGACCGCGAGCCCACGTCTCCCCACGGACTTCACGGACCCACACACCACCGCGCACAGAGAGGAAGAAGGAGAGCCCCTAAATAAAATCCACCCTTCGGGGTACTCACCGTGACCCTCGTGTTGCCAGGAGCTGCACTTTTAGACAACACAAACATTAGGTAAATATTTTATTTCAAAAATTACATTCAAATCACATTTAGCCCTAAAATATAACAATTGACAAAGCCAGTTTTCCAGATAATCAATAACCATCTTCGTAGCATTAAGGATGAACTGTAGCATTCATTCATTTGTAATGTTGACATTTTAAATTAGCTGGACATTTCAGGATTTTTCTGATTTGAAAAGAGCCAAATCTCCATCCATCCATCCATCCATTGTCAAACCGCTTATCCTGCACACAGGGTCGCGGGGGGGCTGGAGTCCATCCCAGCCAACTTCGGGCGATAGACAGGGTACACCCTGGATTGGTCGCCAGCCAATCGCAGGGCTACACAGAGACACACAACCATTCACACTCACATTCACACAACTACGGGCAATTTAAAGTCCCCAATTAACCTGATCCCCAGAGCATGTCTTTGGACTGTGGGAGGAAGCCGGAGAACCCGGAGAGAACCCACGCAGACACGGGGAGAACATGCAGACTCCACACAGAAAGGCCACTGGGCGGAATCGAACCCAGGACCTTCTTGCTGTGAGGCAACAGTGCTAACCACCACGCCACCGTGCCGCCCCAGCCAAATCTCCTCTGAAACCAAACTCTCAGCATAATGAATTAACGTCTCACTGACATCTAGTGGCAATAGCTGATCTCTGCAGTGTGTTTGTAACCGTCTCTGAGGTCACATCATTAAGAGTCTATGAGACAAATATAAATGTAGTTTGAAGCAGCTTCTTGATCAAATTATTTGCGCTTTATCGAGAAACAACAGATGGCCGACTTCTCCTCGTCACAATTATGTGCAAAAAAATATTTTCACAATACATCTACATAGGATCAGTTTTAGCAGTAAATAACATGAATCATGAGCAACGTAATCTAAAACATGAGCAATAACAATTTAAGATGTATGCACTGAATGAAAGGAAAAATTAAATTTTGTTGAATAAAGAAAATAAAGATTTATACAGCCTGCAATGTCTAAAATCATTTAATATACAATAGTAAAATGCAGGCTGGTTATTCATGTTGGGCTAATTGTATAGATCCAACATCAGGTTTTTCCTTGAAATGCTTTTTTGCCTTAAACAAAAAGAAAGCTATACAAATAGCTCCAAACACTGCAACAATTAGAAAAGAAAACGTGGTTGTAAGTCCGATTTCAGCATCATGGGTGGAGAGCCTCATACCCAGGAAATTCACCGAGTTGTTCACTGAGGGGACAGGCGTGATAGGCGCACTCGTCGCTGTGGAAAAGACACAGGTTAATATATTTGAACATTGACTGCACATCTAAAAAGTGTTCTGAGATCTACCAAAAGCAAATGTCCTCTACCACCGAATGTTTTTTTTTCAATTAATGATGTGGGAAAATTTTAGGGGAATATAACATTTATTAACCTTCTGTATATTGTGCAGGGTTTATACACACATCACTTTTTAAATACGCTGAAAACCAGTCTCCGAGATGTCAATGCCTTTTTGTTGATTCCAGCAAATAACCGTTGTACCGCAAATTCTTGTCACCATCTTTTTCCCCTCTCATCCCGGACCAAATTTGATTGTGCGCCTT